AAATCCGAGTGGTACTTCTCAAGTTATAGTTTGGCCAAGGATTACCGGAGAGACCAACAGATAGACAGAAAGATAGGCAGGCAGATAGATAGATCGACGGAAATGTGTGTTTTTCGTGATGTCCATGTAATATTTCCGTAGGTCTGCTGAAGTTCAACAAGAGTTTCTGTTGCACTCCAGTGTTGACAGATCGAACGCTACGTTTTCAGTCTCATTACCTAATTTTCAGACCTCCTAACATCCAACGAAACATATGTCATTTTCGCAATTTTTCGACATTTCAATATAATTGTACTCCTCGCCCTGTCGCATAGGAAGTAAAAGAAGCAAAAGGTAGCATGATTTAAAACCCAGCAAAGTGTTAGGCTCTCTACTCCCAACTATGTGACTAATAGCTGAAAAAGCCATCCAACCAAATGCACATCATAGCAAAAGCATAAAAGTTAGAGAGTGCACTTTGCAGTACTTTGCACATTATTATCATTTCCCATTTAGATCTCCACCCCGCTCTAGCTATATTTAACCATGCTACATTTTTAACGCATTGTCCGTATGTAGTTTCCATCCTCTGGGATTTTGCACATATTCAGATTTGCTATTCACTAAGCGCGCCGGAATACATTTTCTAGACCATTTACCCCTAAATTGCCAGTATGACCTAGATAAAGAGGAATGACCTAATTTCGAGTAGCGTATCCTCAAGACTTTCAGTTTTCAACCGATAAAAGTCACATTAGTCGGGGTATAACAGCTTGGCATTTTATTTTTCATGAATAAACAAAAATCTGTCATCAAGTAGGTGGACTCTGTACTAGTTGTCAGTAGTTGTTTTTTTGATTTACTGATGGGATAAAGGTATGGATCGGACATCGAAATTTTTATTTAAGGAAACAAATTTGATAGATCACTAGAATTGTCGAATGGAACTTTTTCTATTTTTTTAAAAAAAGCTTTAAATTGCCCGTAAGACCTAGATAAATAGCATAACCTCAGTATTTCCAGTTTTCAAACGATAAAAGTCACATTTGTCCAGCAGGGGTGTTGTGTACCTAACTTGAAAAGTGTAATAATATCGTTTTTTACATTATGTAAAAAAAAAATCTAAATTTATTCAAAACTGTACCTTTGTATTCGTATATAAATAAATATTATATATTTTTTCTTTATTTATAAATTTATAAGTTTGGCAAAAAATCACGTTAGCACGTGCAGCCCCCTAAGGGGAGGTGACACCACCCCCAAAATCTTAAATGGAAAGGGGGTCGAGTGATACCTTATTTTAAAGGTCTTTCAATTCCCTTTATAATGACGTAAAATTAATGTACTTCAGTTCAGTAGTTTTGAAGAGTTATTGATTTAAAGCTTAAATAAAACTAATACATCATCATTAGTGGAGATCAATACATTTGGCAGCAAAGTAATTTAAAAATGAAGAATGAACCGACCCGTTAGGCAAGTAAATGTTGAAAATGGCCACCATGACTCTCCATGCAATAATAAAGATTTTGCTCAAAACGTTGCCGCACATTTTGCAATATTTGAGGAGTAATTTGAAGGCACCCATTCACAATTCATTGTCGCAGGTCTTCTAATGATGTTCGCTGAGTAGCATAGATTTTGCTTTTTAAATGACCCCACATAAAGAAATCCAAAGGTAATAAATCTAGCGATCTTGGGGGCCATTCAATGGCATCTCTTCTACCAATCCATCGATCTGGAAACGTCTGATCTAAATATTGTCGAACACGTAATGCGTAATGTGTTGGGGCACCATCCTGTTGGAACATCAACCTATTCGCAATGTACCGCCGATCATTCTGATTTTCAATTATGGCTGTTAATGCAGGATCTATGGCGTCTTCCAGTAATTCTAAATACATTTCACCGGTCAAATTTCCAGGCAAGAAAAAAGGACCAACTAAATGGTCGCCAAAAATACCAGGCCAAACATTTAATTTTTGTGGCTGCTGTGTATGAACCTCATGATAAATTCTGGGATTAGAATCGGACCAATATCGGCAGATATGACGATTTACTACGCCATTTAAGAAAAAGAAACATTCGTCGGAAAAGCAAGTGTTGAATAGAAAATGTTCATCGTTTATAATTCGTTCACTCATATCTTCACAAAATTGTAATCGCCGATCAAAATCGTCTTCATTAAGTTCTTGTACGAGGTGAATTTTATACGGATGAAAACTATGGGCATTTAGAATCCGTAGGATAGTATGTCGACTAACACCACACACAGTCTCCAATTTGTGGGTGCTTAACGTAGGATCTACATAATCTTGCCCTAAAACCCCCACTTTTATTGCTTCGTTCCTTATGGGATTTTCAATGTTGCGTTTTTTATTGGCGACTAACCCAGTCTCCCGAAATTAGGTACTAGTTCTAGAACATATTTTCGATGCACGTTACTGTTCTCATGTCGCTCATTAAATATTTCTGCTGTTCTATTACGGCACTGATTATTTCCGAAAAATATTTCGATAATTTCAACTCTTTCTGCTGTGGAATATACCATGGTTAATTTATGTAATAAAGCGTTACAAGTTATTTTAGCAACAAAGTTTGGTCAAATCAATCGCAAACTATGTACTAAATAATAAGTACGAGATATTTCCTTATCTTTCTTCAAGAAATAACTTTTTGCCACAAAGAAACGCTCCAATAGCTATTTTCAAGAACAAAATGATAAGCAAACCATGGGCGTAGTGAAGAAAAGCATTTACTTTTTAAGTAAATTATTTTAGTCAAATTTCTTCTGAAAGTAGTACAAACTAATCTGATGTACCTATTTAAGTCTACTTTAAGCTTTAAATCAATAAATCCTTAAAACTACTGAACTAAAGCTCATGTATTTTACATCATTATAAAGGGAATTGAAAGACCTTTAAAATAAGGAATCATTCGACCCCCCTTTCCATTTAAGATTTTAGGGTTGGTGTCACCCCCGCTCAGGGGGCTGCACGTGTTAACGTAATTTTTGCCAAACTTGTGTCCCCTTCGAAACAAAAATCGACGGTTCTGAGCGTTTCTCCAAAAAAAAACTGAGCTGCCAGTAAAAGCGTCTGTTTCGTTTTCGATGCGCCACCCTGTATACATTTTATACATTGTATACGTGAGTATCGAGACGCATATATTCACCATTGTATACAAGTAACTAGAACTAGAACGGATTGAAATATGTTGCCCCTATTACGTAGATAGAGATGGCGTGACAATTTCGGGTAGTGTATCCCCAAGATCTTTTAATGAGGAACTAAGAGTGTAAATGTAACTTTTAATTTCTTGATTCTCTGGTATAAATTTGATAAATCATTAAAATTTTTTAATCAGAAACTATTCGAATTTTCCAGTTTGCCCTAGGTTGCTCATATGGCTTAGATAGAGAAAGAATGGTCTATTTTTGAGTAGCGTATTCTCAAGAACCACAGTCTTCAAGCCGATAGAGGTTACATTAGCCCGAGTATAATAGCTAAGACGTTCGATTTATGAAACCAGTTTGTTTTTGATAAATCAAAATGAGCGTCAAGCTAGTTAACACTACACATCTCGCGCAATACAAGAAGTAGACATCTCAGAATAACTAGAAAATAGGTTGCTAAATTTCTTAGATTGTCCCTAAATTGCTTCCATGACATAGACAGAAATATAATAACCCAATTTCGAGTAACGTTCTTCCAAGTCATTCAATTTTCAGGTAATAAAGTCACATTAGTCCAGGTAGAATTGACAGCTTGCGCTTCTTGGTTCTAACTAATTGTTTCCATGAGAAAGTAAAGATTTATAAATTGGGTTTCGAAAATATAGGTAGAATTCAAACTTGGTAACTATAATACTTGGATTATATGTCCACTTTTCAATCGATACAAGTCTTACTTTTACAAATATAAGAGGATGTATCACGTTCAGAGATTCAGCAGGAACTGAACATTTTTTTATTCCGAAGCCCAAATGCCAGGGAACCGCGGCTGCTATGAGGAGCTTAAAGAAACTTTGTTGATCCGTTTTTTGAACTCGAGTAAATTGCTCCACAATCTTGATAGACTAAGGACAAGGGAACGGTCATTTCGGATATACGAAGTTCGACACGGTGCCTCCTCAGGTAGGTTGTTCCACAATCTCAATATTCTAGGCCCAAAGGAAGGATGGGAGGCCGAGGTCAGGTGAGTCATCGTACAGTCGGACAGCGTTCCTCTGAACAGCATCGAGCATGGATATCTCCAAACATGTAAGCAGCAATGGCACCAACTAGGTAGAAGGTTGAAGTTCTGTAAGGGAACTGAATATTTTTCTAGAACGAGAGAAGTTATTACCCAGGCTATACACACGTGAATGCAGGCCCTACTGCGCTTGTTAGTAGCATATAGCGTTAATGGTCATGCAGGTGATTTGCAGAATGTGAGTGGTTGTTAAAAGGCAGAGGCTTCTGTTGAAATGAAATCGATGTGTGAATGGTGTATAAAGGAGCAGGCAGGCGCACTTTCGAGAATAGGGCTGTAATGCGAGTGGCAAGTCTGAATGCATGAAATACACATGTTTTTGAATAGACCACTTTTAACATCTAGTTTCTGCGTATGTGGTAGACAAATATCGGAAGAGAAAACCAAACTAGATCCTCTTCTTGTTTCTCTTCACTGACGTCTCATGCTGTATGGCCAGAATCCTCGACATGACTCTCTGCTGTAGTATTTCGATAAATCCGTTCGACTTCACGACCTCTGATGGTAATTCTCGCATCCAGCGTCTCAAATTACCTGGGTGTATTAGGTTGCATGTGCTTGTAAAAACTGGAGGCGAAAATAGAAATTTGTAATATTCTTTGAGATTCCCTGTGAATAAAGTAGTAAACAAATCGTTTCCTGGAGAGTAGGGTAAAGGGTCACAAGTATTCTACGATTAAGCATTTTGGAGCCTACAACATGTTTTCACAAAGGATACTTCTTAGATATTCAGTATCAACTTACTAATTTTGTTGAATTACCGTTTTGCAGGTATCCAGACATGAGAACAGTCACAAACTGCTTCGTACTGAACCTTGCAGTAGCTGATATTCTGTTTACCCTGACGATTCCGGTAGTTGCTTACACTAGGCTAGCAGTAACATGGGACTTTGGCGATGCAGCTTGCAGGATAGTCCCATATGTACAGGTAAATAATCAATATCATCTGACTTAATACACCTATCCCATTAAAGAATAAAGCATATTAGTGACTATTTACCGCCTATTATAGTCACATTCTGCTATTAGGTTGCTACATTTGATTTTTATGAGTCTTTTATTAGATTTATACCCATTTTCCAATTTACAGCGTAGTGTGTACTTGTGTGCTTCGGTGTATGTATTGTCCGGGTTTCTTATTATCCATTTTATATCTAAACATGCTGCTCTCATCTGTCTGACCCAAAAATCCCATCTAGTAGTCGCGTGGTGACTGGCTCCAATTCTGTTCATAGTGGTCAGTTCTAGTGGTAGATGGCGCTTCACGCTATCTTATTTCAATATTTTATGTCTGTTTAAATAAAAATTCAAACTATTCAGTGCAAGCTATGGTACTGGAAAGATTTGATGCAACTCAAATGATTTTATTCTGCAGAGAATATGCGAGAAATTGTGGAAATCTTTCAACAGTAAGAGTACATTTCATACCTAGTTTGAGACGCGGGCCATTATTGGGCGAGCACCGTTATAATCTGAGGCGCATATATATATATAATCTGCGAGGTCAATAATTACATCAGACGAGGCGTGTATCCTTGATTTTCATTGTTTTCTACTGATCCGTATAAGTGCTCCATCTTGCGGTTATGTTACAAATATTTATTTGTATCAAATTGTGCATGCGTTTGATTTAGATCAGATTTTATATCAGCCCGAAATTTCCTACAATTTGAAAAGAAAACATAGCCTCACAATAGGAGCGCGCTGATGGTGACACGGAACAGAAGAAATCTAGATATAAACCAGATTTTTTGAAGGAGAGAAAAGACTATCAAAATCAAGTAGGCCATAAAGACGTCCTACAAATTGTATGAACGACTGATAATACGGCCCTAACACTCATTCTGTCCAAACATTTGATCATACATGACAATCGTGACGCTTCTAACACATTTTACAAATACCCTAAAATATCTAGTTAGCTGGTGTCAAACTGACAAACTTAAATTAATGAATGTAACAACCTGCAGACTTGGTTTGGATTGGCCGTTTTCTAATATTATGTCGAAGGTTGGTATATTCAACAAGGGTAGTTACATGAGTAGCTGTACTCAAAATTATTTATTTGTCAATCGTTCAAAAATGTTTTAAGATACGAAGTTCAGTTGTCAAGCTGGCACGATGAGATTGACAGGATTAAATTTCAAATGACATTACTATTTACCTAGGTCACGGGACATTGTGTAAGGGATACATCCATTAAGCTGATCCTGTCGACAAGGATGGTGTGGCTCCCGGAAATTCAGTGGGCATACTACATGGCGCAGGGGGTCTACTCATTGAAAAATGTCAACATAACCTGCCGCAATCTTTATGTGCATGCATTTCACTCAATTTTTGCAATGCTTTGTAGGTGTATTACTTTGTGGCTTATAATTATTATCCAATATTTCTGCTTGCGGCTGTCAGAATTCGAGTTGTTCATAGTCATGATGATAGCAAAACAGAGACAGAGAGAGGCACAGAGAGATGCCCTATGCACAGTACCTGAAATTAATTTGCTGCGCAATGTACCAATTCACTTCATGGTCGACATTTTTGGCTTTGTTCCCACTCCATGGGCTTAACCTCCTACATATCTCTAGTCTTCATGACCTAGGTGTTTTTTGTTTCATTACTTACCTAGGGAGAGAAATGGCTACTTCTGAATCAGGAGGGTAGTAATGAAGAAAGATCTCTAGTCACTACACCATATAATACTGAATCATAAACGTATCATAAAATTACAGGTGGTGCACACATGTTTTCATTTACTTATTGTTGCAGCTGATTAGAAAAAGTAATTCATACAGTTCCATTGTTACCATATTCTACAGAAAAGAAGTGATGTCAGGTAGGTTGACTCAGCACTTCCCGCACATCAACTTCTTCAGGACTTTCTGAATGTTCAAAATACCGATATCCCTCATTTTAAAACATTTTCAAAACCTCTTCACATTTCAGTTTGTGTCAGGCATAGTCCTTCTTTGGACATTGGCCCTGATCAGCATTGACCGACACCGTTGCATCGTCGTTCCACCATATAGGTCCAACATAAGTCCATGTCAAGCCGCCCTTGCATCCCTCATCATATGGTCCTCTACATCCCTGATTTTCGTACCTGTCACGTTGTGGTTTCGGGTGATAGTAGCTGAAGGAGATCCTCCAATCACTGTGTGTACGATGATTTTTCCAAAGTAAGTCTATTAGAAATTCTGATGACATTTTGTAAGTACAGGGTGTCCCGCTATAAATTGACCCCTCTAACTCGCTCAAATTTTTTCCTGACTTTATTTGTAGTAGGATTTCAGAATAAATTGCGTGTTGTCATTGATATATTCCTCTACAAGATGGCATAGTCAAATTTTCAATTCGACATTTTTTCTTTCGACTTCGACCACTTTGTTTTTTCATATAGACGCTATATTGGACTTTTCAGTCTGAAATTCAGTGATGTATTTTTCTTAGTTGGCAATTAGTTTTTTGACGGATAAGGATTATGAGGAAATACAAAGGTATGGTGAAACATGAACACAACGTGAACATTTCATTGATTTCATAACAATAAGAAACATAAATAAGCAGGGGTAAATCATAGTAGATGTTCAAAATGTCCGTTATTTCGTAGGCAAAGCCTGACCCTTCTCTGTAGATTATTCACTGCTCGATCTAGTTCTCTACTTCCTAGTCTTTCAAACTCTATTACGATGTTCAATTTGATCTCAGGTCTGGCATACGAAACAAACGAAAACTGGCCTACCTAGGAAATTCTGTTTTTCTGGAAATACTAAGAGTTGGCAATATCAATGTAGGACATATTATACATTTTTGAAATCAGAATTAAAAGCTCTATTCATCTGTGCAATCCAATATAGCGTTCTTAAAATAAGGTTGATGTTGGAGGTCAAGAACGAAACGTCATATTTAAAAGTCTAATTATGTCGCCTTGTAGAGTAGAAAAAGTAGCAATGTTAATGTGTAATTTATTTTGAAATCTCACTACAATTAAAGTAACATTGAAACGATTTTGGAAAAAAAAAGTTTTTTTCCGTCTCTTTCAGAGCGGCATTTTGTTGATTACCTAAATACGCAACTTTGCTCCCATTAAAGCGGCTTCGTATCTCTAACAGTTTCAGAGATCTCAATGGTCAGGGTCACATTTGAAACTCCCTGTATACTGAGATAAGTGCTATGAAATGAAGTTTTATTTTCCATGTGCAACACCCTGCATAATTTTAGTGATCTGATCTGATTTCAGATATATATGATTCATCATAATTATTTTCACTGGTTTGACTAAAACCTAATTTTGTGTCATTTATTCATGTATATCCGAGTTCGCATCCAGCCGCCCATGCAATCTGACATAGCGCTGCGATATATGTCTATAATTTAATTACATTACATTTGAGTTTTCCTCTAAAGTGCAATGGTACCATGGATTTCACCTTCACGATCAGCTCTTCTTTGTTAAATGAAAAGTCCTCATTTTAAACTGGCAGTTGAACGTCAAAATATAAAGGTCACCTATATAGGTCAAGTCAAGGTCAGAGGTGTGGGGTTAGGTAAAATCCTAAGAATTCTGGCAGGACTACTGATAAAGTAAACTACCAAGGTCTGATATTTATTGACAAGACCTAACAATAATTCCATTGGTGACCTTGAAATCAAACCCCCTCCCCTCTTTGCCACCATTAATGCATTATTTTACATTCTACCATGTTCTCATGCACTATTATGACCTTGAAGGTGAAGCTCAATGTGAATATGAAATTCCAGTGAAGATCTGACTATGATTTTTTCATCAATAATCCTGATAAAATTCTAGGGCTTCTCCTTGCTTCACACATTTGCCCTTTAGCGGTGACCTTGATCTTAGAAATCAATACATACTCAGACGTAGATTTGGTCGTTATTTGATTACTTGTATCAAAAAGAAGGCTTTTCGTTTAAAAAGAATGGTCGATCTTGAAATTAATATTGCAGGTCAGACTCAAGGACACCATTGTACTTCAACTTTAGCAAAGGCGTTTTTCAAAATAACGAGTCGTTCCGTTACTTTTGTTACACCCGGTGTAGCGGATGACCAAGGGATCTTAGTAAAGTTGTCCGCATTAAAGTTTAATAGCGAGCAGCCTGATATTACAAGCTAACAGTGAAATTGACGCTGATGTCTACAGACTGAAAAATTCCTGCCCTTGACTGATACTGATACAGACTTCGGGGCGTTTTGTTCCACTTTTGAGCTCTCAGGTTCCTTTACACCTTAGGGTGGTAAAGTCACTATAGCTTCAAGTGTATTATAATAATAATAATAAATGTCTTTATTAGCAACACAACAATAGGGCGAAGTTTGGCCAGGTGGCTACTCTTACACCCAACCCTCTTGTGTGAGAAAATATGTATATACAATTCACAGTTACATATATGCAACCTAAAAATAAATACATCGATCTGGCTTTCAACTAAGTGAGCTAATAAAAAATGGAAAAAATACAATCAATTGATAAATCCGCGCTATATTGGTTTACCAAAAAGGAACCAGTCAAGAACCAATACTGAACGGATGACAACACAAAAAAAAACATAAAGATAATAACAACTAATCATGATACATCTAACAGCTGCTTTTTCATCAGCTTCCTGAATGTCACTACACTTTTGCTTCCCCAGGCAGGGTCGGTTGAGTTGTATATTATACCTCAGATCTTTAAGGTTAATGATTTCTCAAGTTACCAATTTACTATGGACGTAGATGGGCTTTTTAGTACACAATATCTTATGCATAAGTACCTTAAGACTATATTCAAATTGTTGATCCATTTTCACCCATTTCAACTCCTTGATCTTAGAGGAGACATGACTATATTTCCGAAGCCCATACACAAACCTACAGCAGTTGTTTTGCATTCTTTGGATCCTACACCGATTCATCGAGACAAGATAAGGATAGTGTAAGGTTAAAACGTAGTTGAGGCTGGACATTATCAAACTTTCAACTAGCTTCTTACGCGTTTTAAAGTTCAAAATGGATCTATTAGCATATAGCAGTCTTAATTTGATGTAGGTGAACTTCGACAGATGACACACATGTTTCTCAAATCTTAAACTAGAGTCAAAGATGACACGAAGACTTTTTGCTTGTTCCACAATAGGAATGAGCTCGTTGTTGATGCTCAATGCAATTCTGTCCCTTACTCTATTATGCAAATATTTAGGATAAAAAAGTATGCAAGTACTCTTCTTATCCGGAGTAATCTTCAACAAGTGTCTTTTACAAAAGTTAGTGATGTTGGCAAGATCACAATTTATCTTATATGACACTTCATCCAGATGAGACAAAATGAAAAGAAAGCAGCGTATCATCCGCGTAAGTTTGTATAGCACAATGCTCAATACATGAATGTAAATCAAAAGTATGTATCAAATACCCTAAGACAGAGCCCTGAGGGACACCTGAAGAAACGGCAAAGGAAAATGAGACACCTCTAACTGTCTGCACCTTTTGTTTACGATTAGTTAAGTAATTTTCAAAAAATTTATTCGGTATGTCAGAAAGTCCAATATACTTTAACTTACTCAACAAAATTTTATGGTTAACAGTGTGGAACGCCTTAGAGAAGTCGACCATAACTAAAGCTGTATTAATATGTTTATTGTACCGGAATTCAAAACGCTAACTACATCACTAACAAATATTACATCAATCAAGATGGAACTGAAGCCAGTCTAGGTTCATCAATTACTTGTCTAAAGGCATAGAAATCGAAACAACCTCTGAGGGCATTGCTGGGATCCATTAAATCTACATTCATGTCACCCAAGATGATTATATTATCAAGAAAAAGGAGATGAAATTATCAATTTGACTAATGCATTCATTAACTGGACAATGAAGAGGTCTATCAGCCACAATAAATAAACAACTAGAGGAACCAAATTTGCACTTACAACACAGTATTTGAAGCATGCTATTACCCAAGAAGTTCACTGGTCTAACATTGAATACTTGTTTAAAATAAAGACCAACTCCTCCGCCCCCCCCCCTAGTAGCCTATCCTTACGGAAAAAAATATAGCCATCCTTATTCACACAATCATCGGGTATTTTTGCAGATAGCCAAGTTTCGGTAACAGCTATTATATCAAATTTGCTTTGCACCATCCAGGAAAGCTCGTCAAAAGAAGCTGTGAGAGATCGCACATTCAAACGGCAAATCTTCAAAGAGTCATTCATAGATCACACGCTGTTGAAGGTTTTCGAGATATGCCCGAACCACAGGACAACGAGGAATGTTAGTGGAATGATCCAACGGAAAATTCGTTTTATATATCTAATTTATTGTGGTTAAGGCAATTAGAACATTTCAATTCCTCAAATGCGCTCTGCCTTACACTCTCTTTCCATATGATCGAAGGAACAACTTTTCATACACTTAATTATACGCAAATGATCGGTAGTGTAAGATTTTTTCCAACCCACAAACAGTGAGCCAAGCTGAAGTAGATACTTTCTCAGCTGTGGGCTTATCTCGATGACAATATCAACGTTGCCTTTGTAATTCAACTTAGTAACAAACTTGATCTGAGAGTTTTCTGTAACATCCAGAATATTCAATCTAGCAATATTGGATATAATATCCTCCGGAGATTAAATCCCATCCAAGTTCACGTTTTTCATGAGCATCCTAGGGTTAAGCATTTTAGCCTCACTAATTGCATATTTAGATGCTAACTTTTCACCAAGAGTTGTTTTCAATGCATTGAGTAAAAGATCATCCTTACAGTGAACAGCAACTCCATTACGAATTTTACAGGTACTATTCACACATATGTTCGAGCTAGTTGGATCAACGGATGATTTGATATCTTGTAGAATATTGTTAGTATCAGAAATCGTATTCAGATAGAACTAAGGTTATCGATTACGCGAATTGTCTGTACAGTACCAGACGACGACTCGAAAACCATCAGACGACTTAAACACTGTTGATCACTTCAGGCAGCAGAGATCTGTTAACCCTCAGCGGTCAGCGACTAATCACTGCCCAACTACTATAACATCGCAGCAAGTTTCACGACCAGCGTATGAAGCCCAGTCTCAAAGAGTATTAAGCAGTCCAATGTCTGCTAGTCAACCAATCCAGAACGGTGATAGCGACAGCGGCTGGAAGAGTGTGACACATAAAAGAAAAAAGAGCAATAGTTGGAACATATAGTCAAACAAGTAGTAATATGCCTTCAACTATTCCTAAGATAGCAACTCTACATGTGTCCAGGCTTGATCCCACAATAACTGATGAAGCGATGAAAATCTATTTGACACCCCATTTTCCGGAAGTTCTAGTTAATAACATAAAGTCGAAATATTCGGAACGTTATGCTTCCTTTAAAATTTCGGTTTATGAAAATAACTTTAAATCAGCAATGAACCCAGAACTGTGGCCCCAAGGTTGTTATGTACAACGTTTTTTTCGATCGGAGAAAAACAGTTGAATCGACTCAGTAGTCTTTGATCCTAAATTACTTCTGTTAAATCTAAATGGGATAACGTTTGACAAAATTGATGAACTATCGATTGAAATGTCTATGTTCAAAAACTTGTTATTTTATTGCTTTAACGAAACATGGGCTAATCGTCAATCAATGGTAAGCTATAAAATTGATGGTTATGAATTAGCAAGTTTTTATGCCCGAAGTAATCAGAAAAGAGGTGGTGTTGCTATATACATTCGTAAAGATTTACAATACAAGCCAATAGATCTGAATAAATATTGTTTTAAATTGGACATTGAAGTTTGGTCAATATCTTGTACCATTTCAGACAAAAAAATTAAGATAATAAATTGCTACCGTTCACCTAATGGTGATGTAGGCGTATTTTTAGAAAAAATTGAAGAAATTTTAAATACTGTTTTCGATCCTAATTGTTTATTGCTTGTATGTGGCGATTTTAATTTTAATTGTTATGAGTCAAAATGTATTAATTTTATGAAATTGTGTAATATTTTCTCTATGTTTGGTTTGTATCATAAAGGCGGTTGGCCAACCCGAGTGACAGATACTTCGGCCACAAGCATTGACCACGTTTTTACCAATATTACTCAGTTCGTTTCCTGTGTCTATGATAATACAGTTTCAGATCACAGGACGACTCTGGGGGACTTCGATGATTGCTCCAAGAAATCGGACAAAATTTACCTGAACAAAAGAAGTTTTCATCAAAACGCAATTAGCGACTGTAAAGAATCTTTATTAAACGAATCTTGGCTGTCAGTTTACTCTAGCTTTACAGTTTGGAAATTTTTTAATATCTTTTTGTACTATTTTAATAATTATTTTCCTTTACATAAAGCCTGTAAGGGAAATGGCTCAAAAAGTTCGGTTACACATAACGTAAGAAATTCAAGCAATAATTTGTAAGATTTATATCATACTTCACAAATAAATCCAAGACTAAAGTCTGTATAATGATGCTAAAAAGGCACATAAAAAATTGATCAGAGACGCAAAAAGATCATTCTACCAAAACAAAATTGTATTGTCTAAAAATACCACCAAGGCATGCTGGCAAGTGGTCAATGCAACTAAAAATGAGAACAATGTTCGAAAAAATATAGTTCTACATAAAGATCAAAATGAAAAAGTGTACGCCCTCAGCTGTTGGCAAATATGTTCAATGATTTTTTTAAAAATGATCCAGATGATATAATACAAAAAATTAATACCTAAGAAAGTGCACCTGATTTCAAATTTAATGTCAAAAATTATTTCAAACGTTACCCTTTTACAGATAATGAGCTCAGTAACTTACTTTTGAAAAAAATAAAAAATTCCAAATCTTGCGGTTTTGATGACATTCCCAATTATCTGGTAAAAGAAGTACTACATCTTATAATAAAACCGATAACACACCTTATAAATATCTCATTTTGCTGCCGAGAGTTCCCAAGTAGGCTGAAACTAGGCAAAGTTATACCAATTCTAAAAAAGGGGAACGAGCTTGATATTACAAACTACAGGGCAATCACTGTGCCGTCTGTACTTTCTAAAGTGTTTGAATATGCCTATTTGGACAGACTTCTTCTACATCTCAAGAACAACAATATTTTGTCTCAAAACCAGCATGCTTTCACAGATGGTAAGACCAAAATGTCAGCCATACATTCCTTTTATGAGGAGCTTATAGAATACATCGACGCGGGCGAGTGCCCTACTGGCGTATTTTGTGATCTCAGTAGGGCATTCGACTGCGTTGGTCACAACAAATTCTTGGAGATGGTTGTTAAACATGGTTTTGTCGGTCAGTCTCTTAAATGGGCCAGATCGTTTTTAGTACAAAGAAAACAATATTTTTCAGTAGAATATCTTGATGCAGGGAACAATATGAAACACTTTGTGTCAAGTACGTTAGACATCTCGATTGGAGTCCCTCAGGGCTCTATTCTTGGACCAATCTTTTTCCTCTTATACATTAATCAGTTTGATAATATTCATCCAGATACCCATTTTACAGCATATGCTGATGACGTTTCTGCCATAATATCAAGTAATTCAAATATGATTTTGGAAGATAAATGTAACAACTTAATTAGGAATATCAATACATGATTTAACCAGCACTCACTTTACTTGAATCCTTCCAAAACAACGCTTATTCGTTTTCATCATGCTCAAAAAACTGTATAAGGGTTTCAAGTTAGATTGGGTGACGATCAACTCGATTTTAGAGGAGAAGTGAAATTTCTTGGAATTCACTTTGATTCGAACTTAAATTGGAAGGCCCACTGCCAATTTCTCACATCAAAAATGTTCTCTCAAAGCTATGTGTTGAGGCAATTAAAAACCATCTTAACAGCTGAACAATTGATACAAGTTTATTTTGCTAATTTGGATTCGAGATTAAGATATGGAGTATGCTTCTGGGGTTGGTCAACGCGCTCTGAAGTTGTATATTTGTCTCAAAAAAGATGCATCCGATCATTAGCAAAAAATATTTTATAAGTTTCAACATTTTAACAATCACTTCGTTGTATATATATATGAATTGTGCTTACATGTTTTTAAAAATAATGAAAAATTCAAGCGGAATTGTGATATGCATAATTATGATACAAGGACTTGCAATAATTTATATGTAAACTTCAGCAAATCAAAAGCGGCATTTCGATCACCTAATAAAATTGGTCCGCTTCTTTTTAATAATTTACCATGCCACATTACCTCGGTTAAAAATATTAACGACTTCAAGTACCAGTTGAAGCAATTTTTGATAGACAAGTGCTTATATCGTGTTGATGAATTTTTGAACATTGCAATTTGAGATTAGTTGTAGGTTTGTAGCGAACGAAAAATTGACAATTCCAATACAATTATATATTGCCTGTATGGAAAAAAGGTTATTGATTGATTGATTGATTGAATTGATTTAATTTTAGTCCACTTAAGATATACTCTAAACCTAATTTTTCTGCAACTGTTAGTAAATAAATTTATCTATATCGTCACACCCTAGATACATAAATAACTATTATTTTCTATTTTATATATGTTTCTGTTTAGGAGCGCATCTGTCAACTACTCATTATGCTTCGTGGTACCTGTGATACTATTCGCCTGTTTGCTACCGATGGCTCTCCTTGTCTACCACTATCAGAAGATATTCCAGAAGATTCTATCGACGAAAAGCGCTTGGGCGTCATCTTGTGTCATGATCAGTGCCGCCGATATGAAAGGATGTAATAGGGCACAGATCAGAAGACAGGTATGTTGTTTTGTAATCTTGGAATAGTAGCACAGGATGCGTATAAGGTCAATCATGAGGTCATGCTCCCCAAATAAGCTCAAAAATAATTGCGGTAAGATTCGAGGTCCCTCATCCTTATTGCCTCGTCTTTTCCGGAAGGTTGGCGATCCAGATAGCAATCACACTTTTGAAGACTGTATCATTAAACATTTCTTTGGAAGAGCAATCAAACCACCTCTTCATGTTCATTAGTCGTTGTTCTATTGAGGAAGATAGGACCTCTACAAACTAAAGCCACTCAGGTCTGTTCTTCGCAAGCGTTTTGATGTATCCCAAGGATTTTCGCGTTTGCCTGGTCTCATCTATCGCCTTTCTGTTCCTTGTCAGCCTGGTTCTTCCTTTGATGGTTCACGTCTACGACCATTCTAGCTACGGATTCGTCTATCCCTCTTCGTAGTGTGTGATCTACCAGCTTCACTTCCTTTTCTTATCTCTGTTCCTACTATTTTCAGCCACGAATTTCTTCACAGTTCTTCGTTTGATATTGTTCTTGGTCAAAATAATCGTAAAATACCACGTAGATATCTACTGATGAAATAAGTGTGTGTTCATTGGCTGTCGTACTCGTCAATGTTTCACACCTATATATGGTTCCTTTTACGGTGTCATAATGTCATACGAAATAAGTAAACAGAATGAGTAATGGCCTTGTTTATACTATAGCCGTAGGTATCAAAGCACCATAATTCTGTGCATAAATGCTGTTCTGTGATCGTTTATACAGTGGCTCTTGATAGTATCAACCCTCAGCTTTTACTTATGAAACATAGTTATATTGGTATTGATAAATTAGCAGTATATTTTTTTTGAAAATTATCTATACGGCAGAACTCTGACTTATTAAACCAAAGGTTGTCCTTAACATAGTTGATATCTTCTGGTGTGCCTCAAGGCTCTATATTAGGACCTAAACTATTTTTAATTTATACTTTTTAACTAAACAAAACTATTAATAAGTCCCTTATTCATCCTTTGCAGATGATACTCAGTTAATGCATAGTTTTAATACAAATGAGGTGTAGCAAGTACAACAAATATTTTACAATGTTAATAATTTGATTCAATATTCTTCTAATCACAATCTCAAAATAAATCCAGAAAAATCCAAAATATTATTTTCTAATGAAAAAAATAAAAATTCTGGTTCATCTCATGAAAGATTTCTATAAATAATGAAGTTTTAGAGTTTTCCGAATCTGCAAAATCACTTGGAGTAGTTTTTGACGGGTTTGTTGAACATGTGGAAATTCTGTCCCAAAAAATGTATGTCAGGTTACGTACTCTTATAGCAAATCGATACTTACTGAATTTTGAATTTCTCATAAAACTATGCGAGAGCTTAGTCATATCTGATCTAAATTATTGTGATATTGTCTAGTTTCCGTCATTAGATTGTTTTACAAAAAACATTGTTCAAATCATTCGAAATAATTATGAACGGTTCATTTTTGGATTACGAAAATTTGACAATGTTTCAGCCAATTACCAAATATTGAGGTGGATAAAATATGAGAATTTAGTAAACTATCACTATTTAATTTTCATATATGATTGTTGAATACATTAAAGCCCTTATACCTCAAAGGAAATATTGTTTTTAGTAGAGTTGTGCACACTAGACCGCTAGGACACGAAATTATAAGAGTTCTACCGGGCAAAACAACATTATTTTAACGAAGTTTTTCGTATAATTCAGCTACCAGGTATAATTCGATACCTGAAGTATATAAGACATATTATTTGTCTACATTCCGCAACAAAATTAAATTGTTTTTAAATTCACTATCCACTTAATCTTATCATTTATATATATATATATATATATATATATATATATATATATATATATTTCAGAATCCTGATGAAGGCTCCATAGAGAATGCCGAAGGCTTTTATCGTCAAAAAAGAGTCAACTTAAGCCTAAAAGTTTTGCCAATTTCCCAATTAACAAGTAATTATATTTTGTACCCAACTGGTCGTTGGCTTTGGAAATGACTACTGCTCACTTATATATATATATATATGGTGTATTGTAATTCTTGATTTACGGATTTTCTGATATAGGACAATCGCTAACTGATTGGTAAGTGTAAGAGTAGCGAATACTAAACTTCGCGAATCAGTTAGTCTATTTCCAAATAAAGACGAATATTATTATTATTATATGACCGTTTGGTTACTTACGGTGTGAACATGGCCAGTGGTTCAAACACGTGCGTAGCTTAACTATTCTAAGAGGAATTGTACGTTGCGCAAGCCGATCCGTGACGCAGCCGCTACTCGCTTTTGCACACTCACATAAATTGGGTGGTAGAGGAGCGTGGTTTTCACTTGCTTTCCGAAAATGCTTCTAATTCAAATTATCCACATAGTAGTTGTTTCTTCAGTCACTACTACGATCTATATCGAAGTTCAACAGGGGTTGTAGTCACCGTTCTTGGCGGTTACGTCATCAACGCCATATGAAATAAGTAAACAGATCGAGCTTCCGTGACATGGACGCAGACTAATCTTCAACGCATCTGCTACTCTTTGCTGTACGCATGAAGTGGGTAACAGGGGACCGTTGTTTTAACTCTCTTCCTCTTCCTCTAATAAGCTTAACACGAGCCGTCGGCCTTCTCCATTGATCGTATTTCCAAGCATTGTATGTACAATCTTATATAGAAGACTGATAACAGGACAACTCAAATTGCACGCCGATGTCAAGTAAGTTGTCTGTCTAACAGATATGATCGAAGTGCAGTCATACGTAACGACAAAGTTTTCGAGAGGGAGACACACAACTAAAAAACGTATGTCCCTGAACTTACGGAACAAACGTTCACACACAAGGGTAGGTTGTATGGGTATGTATGAGGGAGATGGGAATATATAAAGGGATACTGGTAATCTTACTTTGACCCGCCAAGAACGGTGACTACAACTATAAACATAAATCGTATGCTCATAGCACGCCAGTTATCATTCTGGCAGTGACAAGCATACATGTGGAACACTCATACGTTGACGAGAAAATTATCAAGATGATGAAACAAAACTAAGAAACGTATGTCTTTGAGTTTACACAACCGAACATCTGCATTTAGAGGCCGATTGCCTATGTACGTGTGAGAGACATGAATACTCGTATGTGAAAGTAATTATTTCTGTAGTCTTACTGTGACCCGCCATAAAACGGTGAAAAGACTGGTGTACTTAAAGTAAAAGGCAGCAAACTTCATTAATTGATTTTTTTTAAAACTCTGACTCAAAAACATTTCTTTTATGATTACAATTACAACTTAGGTACACTGAAAACCATATAGGTACCACTGACGAGAGAATCGCAAGTGGCGTGCAATACGTGTGTTAGAAAGAGATAGATGCACCTCGTTCTCTTTCTAACATACATATCGGACGCTTCTCGCACTCCTCTCTCGTACACATTAAGACGTTAGCCAAATTTGAACTTCACCGAATATCATTGATGACGTTATTTAACAAAAACAGATTATTTTTAACATTTTAATTAATATTTTATATTAATTAGATTTCCTGAGCATGAAAGCAGTAAAGCAATTTATTAAAACAAAAAAGCAGTAATTCTTTAAACTATGCTGCTTTTATTCTCTGCATGATAAAAGTACTGCCTGTTGACTCTTTGATGATGTTTACTTTTTTAGTTCTTTATGTATCTAATATAATAATTCTATTATTTGTGAATAAGTATTTATAGTTATATAAGGTTTAAAAATATTCTCTCTTTAACTTGACATTTAAGAAAACATGCTGTTTGAGGTTCATTTATACAGGGTATTTTCAAAGTTGAGTCTTTTATTTTAACTGCTTGTAGGACTCGTCAAAAAGAGCTGATATACCAAAAATCAATCAATTGCATAATAAAATAAATAGTAGACGATTAAACCCTTTAAAAAATAATGTTATTACACAGATTTTTCTCGACAACTGCCGTATAAAAAGTTAGCTTTTTTAGTTTACTACTCTTATCGCTTATCTAAATTTGGCAAGAGTTTTGTGTTATTATTTGTTTTTCAGTACGAGTCTTTGGTTAGATCAGTTGTGTCTTTTAATAGTGCATATATTTTCAGTTGTCTGCTTATTTCGTGCAAAAAAAATGGCTCATGAACAGTATTTACCTCATCATTATCAACGGGTACAACCATTACAACCTGAATATTATCCTAGAAAAGATGCATTTTGCTAATGGCTTTTAGAACAGTTCGGCAGAAATAGATTTCACGAAATTAATTTTGAGTATAGACGAGGCCACATTTATATGAAATGGAGTGCACAATTTCCACAACAATCATGTTTGGTCAGTGGAAATAGATTTTTATTAAATGTTTGGGGTTGCGTGGTAAATGGCATGCTTATTGGACCCTACCTTTTTTCACCTCGACTGACCGGTGAAATTTATTTTGATTTTCTTCAACACTATACCTCAATTATTAGAAATGTGATACAGAAGATGTGATTCCCACATGATGGGGCTCCATCACACTTTAGACGAGAAGTTCATGAACATCTAAAATAATAAATTTCCGAAGAAAGAGTTGGCGTATCATGATGGAGCAGTAAATGCTCTGGAAGAACTTCAACAGCGCAATGAAAATGGCTGTGATTTAATTCGTGGACACTAAGATCTTATTTTCTAAGCTTGCAAAGAGTCGTTGATTCGCCAAGAAATATTGATAATGCAATATTCATTCATTTTTGTCCTGTCGTAATAATACTATTTGTTGAGTTCGACAAAATCAAGAATTTTGAACTCAATTTTCAATACACTTCACTGCCTATTATGACAGCATAGCAGGAACGACTTAGCATTGTTCTTGAGCAATCGCAGGTTTGTACTGATTGAGTATACTCACGAATGTCCAGAGCGCAAGATGCTATCTTTTTTAATACATTAGCTATTTTCGAGTTCTAAATTCAGTATTGTCACAGAACGTTTCTGGAACTGCGCAAGTCTGAATGCGTAACGAGTAAGATCTCTGGAGCGGTTATGGACGGTCCGTGACCTATCAGGATTTTGCCAAAATCCGAACAGCCTGAACCCACGACTACGGCAACACAGAAGATAACTGTGCGAAGAGAACATTTGTCAGTAACTATAACCACAGTAAATTGAGAGTAACTGCTTCAAGTTCCTCATCACTATCAGACGACGGTAATGATAATCAAAATCAAAAATGATCGGCATTGAATTAATTTGTCTACTTTTCTTTTAAATAAAAAAACACTCCTCAAACCGCAAAAAGGTAAACAGCATTTGCAGCGAAACATGTCAAATAATTTTAATGACATTGGCAGAAGGAATACGCATGCGTGAAAAGTCAGTTCAAAAATGGTCCCGGCAGTAAAGTAAGAACGGCTTAAACGATTCTCGAACCATCCTAGAACTGAACCAGGATGTAAATCGAACACCAAATTTTGGTTCCAAATCGGTCCGATAGTAATCCAACAGAAACCCGAACACGTCGGTTTCTTCTGCGTATTCTGCTGATAGTTCTAGAATGTCCACATTTTTGGAACCGCGAATCAGGCCCCATCTCATGCCTCTTCGTCCATCACATACTTCTTGCATTCCATCTCCGTTACCATGATTTTTTCCCTTTCATATTGTATACCTAAACAAAAATCTTGCTGTATTGGGTGATATAGAATAATATCTGAAAATGTTCAATAAAATATAAGATTGAGCTCATTCGAGTAGTGACAGCACTGTAATGCCCCATATGAAAGGCTATTTGAGTGAACTTGACTCTGACATTAAGCGCTAAGGCACTACCATCCTCTGAATGCGTTCATTGACAAGTTTGCGCTTCTAGAGCGACAAAGTAACCAAATACTGACAGTTGATTCTTAGTACAGTTGATAGGCAACCAGTCATGCAAAAAACTAATGTTTGCATTGCTATGCAGTAGATATGGAACAGTTTAGAGCTCGCGCAGACAGACAAGCGTTCAGCGTTCAAGCCGCGTTCGTCCGGTCAATTCCTTTTACGTGTTCTAACACACATAGGAGGCCGTAACGAACACTGCGTTCCATTTTACGAAGATTACTTGTAGGTGATAGACAGATGACGAGGCATTGCTTTTATGAAGTTTGAAAGAGACTAATAAGAAAAAAGGTGCATGCGAATATTTGTGAGAGAGTTGAAAAGGGAGAGTTCAGTGTCCTTTTCCTACATTGCGTGAAGATGAAGAACGATTTTTGACTTACTACCGAATGCCATTAAGTAGTTTTAATGAATTGTATGACTATTTATAAAAAAGAAAATGGAAAAACAACACACTAACTCAAAAGGCTATATATACAAAAGAAAGTTTAACAGTATTTTCTCATTTTCGTGGCTATCTCAAGCCATGCTGCATTTTTTTAAACTATTTTTATATGATGCGTTACTAAGATCATATAAAAATGCCTTACCCGTACTAAATCAATTAATTTTTCTATGGAACCGGTCTTGCGAATGAGGCGTTCCAAGAGTTCTTTGTCTTTCTGACTATAGAACGCAAGAACGCGAGCGTTCACACTGACCGGCGCAGTATGACTGCCGCTGTGTCTGCACGACTCTATAGACATTTATTAGTTAGGAACATTTTTATTTACAGAGTGAATTAAGCATTTCTGATATATTCGTACCATGGCCGAGAAGGTTCTCAACCCAACTACAAACAACTACTCATCCAACAAATCCGACTTGCATCAACAATACTACAGCAGGAAGGCACGGGTCTCTCAGCCATCACGAAGAAATTAGACTACACAAACATATTAAGGTAAATTTTTTGTATCTTACTGAAAGCTCATAATAGTGTATCAACCCAGTAGTAACATAAATGTTGACTGGGTGAAGGGTCACTCAGTCAAGGGTTATTTTATAGCCGATAGACAGGCAAAAAGGGATGTCGAAACCAGAATCGTGGACCCAGTGCCGTTTAGTATCTTAAAAGAGCATACCCACAAAATCTTCAAGGGCAAGTGGGATGATCGTGTTGCTTATTCGCTACGGAATTCCTCAGAAATCCTAGTGAGGATATAGCAAAAAACTATCTGCAAGTGCCATTGCAACTGGACACTAGACACACTCGATTAGGAAGTACCTTTATAACATGCTACTGAGTCACACATCCTTATGTAGAGGATGTGGACAGGAAGATGAGACAGTTGAGCACTTGCTTTGCGAATACCGAGCTGTTCTATCAAGAATCCATTCTGGGTAATGTTGGTATTCTATGGCCAGCATAAGGGAAATCACTACCTTTTCCAATAGACTAGGGTGGCTGACGATCCAGACCTGAGCGACCACTGGGGAGAACATACCAGCAGCCAAGGACCGTATTGTAAACGAAGCTAGAAGAGCGCTGACGCTGACACGGAGAAGTAGAAATCTAGAATTACCCCAGCCTTTCTATAATTACAGGACGCCTTTATGCCCCCCTTAATTTTCATATTCTTCATGTCCTTCAGAAAGGCTAGGGTATTTCTAGATTTCTACTGTTCCGGGTCAGCATCAACGCTCTCCTAATTATGGTTTGCTTTTGGATTGTATGAAATTTCGGGGTGATACAACAGATGATATAAGTCAAAAGCATGAACAATTTGATGCAAATAGATACTTGTAACCTCAAAATACAGCGCTGACATGGAGCATCTGAAAACCTTAGAAATCAAGGAGGACATAAAGGCGTCCTACTATTAATTGTAGGAACGACTGACGATACGGATAAGTGGTGTGACCTTCCTCCTATACAGGATGCAGCATCAACCCAAGTTTCAAAGGATAGCATTGCAAAGAGAAAGCTGTTGAGAAGTTGGCAACTTGTTCGAATATCATCCAAAGAAATGTGAATCCCAATTATGATATGACGGATAAACTTTAGCTGACATCATTATGTTTCTTAAACAATCGATCGAGATTAACGTCTTTGCTGGACTCGAGAACGCTCGGTAATACCAGATAGGTATATTAACGTTTCGTTTCTCAGTGAAGCTAGGGTTTGTAGGCGGTAGGAGGTTTCTTAAATATATAGACCTGAGCAATGTTGATAATTAGGTATTGTACTTTTCTTTTCACCTGGGTTAAGTTTAACGCATTATTTCCGTTCTCTCAAAGTGTTACCTTCATACCTAAAGACATAGATTGTTAGAACTAAAACTCTCTTGACTCATCAAACCAAACTGTTTAAAATTAAAATGTAGTATAGATATAAATACAAAGGTGCAACTCAATATCGAGGAACTTACTAGGAGAAGAATTTTTATTTTCCAAAATTCACCTCAAAATGATGGAGTGAAAAGAAAGAGACATATACAGGGTGACTTTGAAGTTGAGTCATTAATTTTCAGATAATGATTGTAGAAGGAAGATAAACCAAAATATGTGTGTAAAAATAAAAAAAAATGAAAAAAAAATGTTACCTTGTTTTATAAAGTATCCTCCCGACAAGTATGTCAGTGCGGACCTGTATTTGATCGTGCGGTCTTGGAGCATCGGCATCCCCTCCCCTGTGAGGTCTTAAGTCACCATTTTTTATTCACTATCCGCTCACGCGTTACCGACTGACACATCGACTGAATACAACTGAATAAGATTGTACATTGTAGTAAAAACATCGTTTCAAATTCTTTCGCTTTTTTGTTTCCGATGCGATGAACCGATAAGGCGGATAATATCCGTTGTTGCCAAACACAAGCACATAATATTATTATTGAGACAGGGCGGTACTCAAACTTCTAAAGGGCTATAACTTTGTTACTTTAATTTTACCAGAAAAATGTTAAAGGAAAAAACATTTCTTTTGATCAGATCTACTCACTGTTAAAATAAATGACTCAACTTCGAAGTCACCCTGTATATACATATACACAGGGTGTTCCTTAATGATATGCGAATAATTAACGGTGTGAATCTACATGAAAAATTAATTTTAGTTTGCTTTATAAACTATGATTCAAAAATATTTCCTTACAAAAACTCGGGGTGTTGAAGTTTTAGGAAAAAAATGGAAATTAATTAATATTTTCAGAACCGCTTCAGATATTTCACTGATGTTTAGTACGTAGTGAAAGTTAGTAAAGCTGCATATTTTTCAATGCAAAAATAATTTTTAGCTTTAACAGTGGCATGCGTACGGGTATTGACTTCGATATTTTTTAAGAAAAAAATGGTACACCAATGATTTTTTGCCTAATAAAAATTATTTGTTTCCCATTCAATTTAAAAGAAACTGTTTTCCTTCGATGCGCCATTTTTGAGTAAAAAAATAAAAACCGTTCTATTGTCCGAGAAAATTAATGTAATAATTGAAGAATGCAATTTAGCAATAAATATCTAGTTGCTCTGGAATATGTCACTGGCTTTTGGCATCTGACAAGTCTATGTTATTCAAATCTGTTAGCTGTGACATCTTTTCGTTATTTAGTTTTTACAATCTTGTTTATAATGGTGAATTATTCTAATGTATATGGCCTTGTCGACGGTAATGGTGAGCAAGCGAGACGGATTTATCACCAGAGATATCCCGATCGTGCTTTGCCAGATAGTCGAACCTTTTCTAATATTCATTGTCGTCTTGTTGAAACTGGTTCTGTCCGAAAGGGACGGTAGACCCTCTAAGTGTGAGAATACCTAAAATTGAGGAAGCAGTGCTGCACGAAGTTGAAGAACATCCTGAAACGAGTACGACGAAGATCGCTAGACACTTAAGTATTTGCCATCAAATTGTTTGGAGAATTTTAGTGGATTTTTTGTTGTATCCTTAACATATTTTAAGAGTACAGGTATTACCTCTCATTGATTTTCAAAGGCGTGTTATCTTTTGTCAGTGGTATCTTCAAAACATTACACAAAATCCGCAATTTGAATCAATGATTCTGTTCACGGACGAAGCTAATTTTTCTCGAGATGCCATTCATAATTTTCACAATAATGATTTACGGGCACAAGAAAATCCCTATGCCGTAACCGAAACCTATTTCCAACACCAATGTTCGGTTAACGTGTCGGCAGGAATTATTGGCAATCACTTCATTGGCCCATTCTTCTTGCCGGGACAACTTGACGGACAGACTTACCCCAAATTTCTTCAACAATTGTTGCCCCTGCTGCTTGATGTTCCGTAAGTAATAAGAAACAATATGTGGTACATGCATGATGGTGCCCCAGCGCATTTCAGTGTAGCGGTTCGTAATTATTTACAAACTGTTTATCCAAATCATTGGATTGGCCGCGGTGGGCCCCAAGAATGGCCACCAAGGTCCCCAGATCACAACAGTTTAGATTTCTTTTTGTGGATGCACAAGTCCCATTAACACTGTAGAGGAATTAAGAGAAAGAATAGTTGCAGCTTGTGATAGAATAAAAAACACTCCAGGGATATTTCAATGAGTGCGCAATTCCATGAGAAGGAGGACGGAAGCATGCATACTAAGTGAAGGGGACCATTTTAAACAATTTTTGTAATAATTTCGTTGGTTTTAATGTAATGTTTATGTTGTTAGTTGTTGTTGTTCATTACCCCTAATGTGTTTAATTTTTCCAATTAAGTTAATAATAATTTTGCAAGTTAGACAATAGAACGGTTTTTATTTTTTTACTCAAAAATGGCGCATCGAAGGAAAACAATTCCAGAGAAATCATTGGTTTCAAATTGAACGGGAAATTCAAAAATAATGTTTAATTGGCAAAAAACTATTGGCGTACCATTTTTTTCTTAAAAAATATCGAAGTCAATACCCGTACGCACGCCACGTACGTTGAAGGTGAAAATTATTTTTGCATCGAAAAATATGCAACAGCATTAACTTTCACTACGTACTAAATATCCGTGAAAACTTCAACACCCCGAGTTTTTGTTAGGAAACATTTTTGGATCATAGTTTATAAAGCAAACTAACATTAATTTTTCATGTAGATTCACACCCTTAAATATTCTCACATCATTAAGGAACACCCTGTATATATATGCATATATATAATCAAAACTGAATATTTTTATAAATCATGGTTATAATTATTGTATATTTAGGTATCCATACATGTATATCACTTATTTATATTTAATTTATTGGTTTGACTTAGTTTTTGTCTAATAATGTAATATGGAGGCCTTCTTGCCAGCATCTTTGTACTGTTTTAAGGACTGAAACTAATTGTTGTAAAAAAAAATCCTCGCGCCTGACTAAGAAAGTTGCATCTCTGAAACACCAACTTTATAGGAGAGACCACATAAAATTCAAAACTTTATATCCCCTGTGAACGGTGGAAAGAGACGAAGGTGTAGGGATGGCTATTTCTATTACGCACAATTGTAAAGATCCATACATTCGTATAAAATAAAATACTAAAATTTGCGTGATCAATTCCGATTCAATTATATTCAATCTTTGAATACAGATTGTATATCCTACATAACGAACATATGCGTTATTCGGATTCTACAACGAAGTATCCCAAAACCGTTCTAATTCTACGTAATAGGTTCTCGTGATTTCAGGGCCGCATTGCGATTGGCTCCTGGTACTATCCTCTATGCAGGATATAATCGAAATTTTACAGCTCAATGTGCCATATATTTATTACCAGAATCAACTACTGGGCTGCGTTCGTAAATTTTTACAAAGTGTACATTGTACTACTCTGTAACAATTTCCACGATCATAATTGTTTGACGTACTTGTTTCATGCGTTGGGAGATAGAACAAACCAATCCTTCTTGGAACATCAAAAGTGCACTTTTCTTCCCCTGCTCAAAACCTTGGGAGTAAGAGTGCTGTCGCCTGTCATTCCAATGGTTCATTGTTTGCTTACTTTATTTGGTTATCAAAAATTGTTCAAGATTGACAGAATATATATCTTTCACGATAACTGGGCTACCACGTATCCACAGGTTTTCTTATATTACTAAAATGGTCGCAGAGAACGTAGTTAAAAATTAGTAGGCTGTCATCAAGTGTTATTACATGACTCTGTGATAATTTAGACGTTCTAAAATTAAAGATACACAGTATTACAAAGTAAAATTTCATAGTACTAGTAAGCGAGTAGACGAAATCTACTATACCGCCAGAATCGACGGCATCTAGCGACTACAGTGCAGACTCGGCTATCAAATGCAAACTAGGATACAGCTCCAACAGACAGCTTCCTGATTTTACTTTCGCAGTGGTCGATTCAGGTACCTGGAACTTTGTGCTGCCGTATTTCGATACCAATTCGAGCCCTAAAGGTTAAATAGCTATGGACTGACATACAGGTTTTGAGGATAACTTCTGTTTTCATAAATTGATAAGTCACACTTTTCGCAGGTGCTCCCCGCTTTATGAAAACAATAGTGTTCTCAAAACCATTATGTCATCCCATAACTATTCAGCTTTTAGTGCTCGACGCGGAATATTGCACGATTTAGTTCAGTAACAAGAGAAGTAATATATGCTTGCAATTAAAATGTTTTCTGACCTACCTGAAATTGCATATTTGACCAATACTCTGTGTATTTGATGTGGTTGCTAGTAGACTAGAAGCCTCCGTTTGATTCACGTTTGCCAAATTTTGAGTTAATATCTTCATAGATGGGCACATGAATTGTCATTTTTTTCATTAAAGGTAGTTCGTGTGCTATTCCTCAACGTACTAGTAGTACTGGTGATGTGGCTGCCTATCACTGTCATTATGTTACTGATCTACATTGATGGTAGGAGGGACAACGACGACAAGCAATACTTCCTAAGGTCGCACCATTTTGTAGCAGCGTTAAGCATAGCGTTGCTGAATACTGTCGTTAATCCACTTTTGTATGGAGTGTTTTCAGACGGCTTCAGGTAAGATTTAAGTAACAAAAACCAACACGTACTTAAACAAAGTTTTGGGAAAACCCAAGTTTCAAAGCTTATTTACAGTTTCTCTTTATGATGGATTATAAATTAACTATATCTTGATAAAGTAAATTATTAAAACGTTTTTCTTATTTAGAATAGTAATTTCATAACAGTTCTTAAAAATACCGAAGTTTATTTTTATAACACTTCTCTTGGTATAATAATTCTATGGTAGAAAAGCGCACTCTACTCTCCATCTCGTTAAAGGTCATTTTTAATAATTTTCGTCGACATAAATACGAGAACTGGATGTGATTTGGTGCTGTTTTTTCCTGAACACTCGTGTAGAATGGCCACAACCGCGGAAGTGAAGTAATTTCACACTCAGTGCTGGGGTTTTCCGGGTTGTGGAGATTTTGACAGAAATCGGCCTATATTGGTGAATTTTGTTATAGGGGCCCTTTTCTCACCCTCTTGGGTATTTAGCCGTTGTTACAGCTACACAAAACCATCGAGTTGATGGGAACTGTCTACATTGATACTCCGAGGCGATCTTTAAGTATGACTCACGTCTGCGAGGAGCAGTCCCCCATTTCCGTAAGCACTCATTGTTCTAGGGTTCTACCTTTGGGTTCTGATTTACATCTGGGATTTCCTACTCTTGGTTATTTTGCTTCGGGGCTTCTATTTGGGTAGTCTCTCCATAGCAGCTATCCCTTCTCTTGTGTGAAAATTAGACACACCATTCGCCAAGTACCTACCTAGGTGATTTTTTTTTAATTTTAGTTTTTGCTGGAAACCATTTAGCTGGGGGGTAGTACTAACTATTTTACTTTTGCTTGTCTCCCATGACTTCTTTTAAATTTATTTCTTTGTTCAATAAATGTCTGTGTGCCTTGTGATTTTGTTTCCTTTAGACCCAATATATGGTAGTCAGTTCAAGTTGATAGGCCGATAGGCACTACCTTTTATTTGTTTTTCTTAGTTTGTGGAACTAGGTGGCGCCCAAACCTCATCCAATTGTAACAAAGGCCAGAGTACAAAGAACGACACTCAGAGGTCACATTATCCACCAACTGAGCACAGCTTACATGGGATAACACTGGCACCCAACTAGTACCTGGGGTTCATTCATTCAAGCCCTATGAGTTCAAAGGGTGTATCTAATTGATGTAAAGTTAAGCGTTCTTGGTAAAAAGTCCAAATGTTAGAACGTCAAACTCTCAAACGCAAATAATCTGACACTGGACTAGGCATTCTGTCAAAAAGCTTGGACAAAGCAGCAGTATAAATACTAACAGGCTCATCACTACCCTGGTACGACTTAAAATTTGCTGCCGTAGTTTATCACCTCAGTAAGGAGGAACAAATTCTTCTTTCATCAAAAGAACTGAATTATCCCAATCACTAGCATTTTTTGTAAATAAGGTGATAGTAATTAAGATCATCACCCTCAAAAAGCACATTTAAAAAGTTCTTGTTTATTAACTCCCCTAGAAATAGAAAGTAACTAAACTTTTTGCAGAAGAGCTATAAAACTCCAGAACTACCCGAAAATTTAAAATCCCATTTCCAAACAGAAACCAGCTTAACATTATGATTAACTGAATTACTACTATACCTGTATAGCTGAATTATACCAGTATTACGTAGTGGTGTCGGTGCGGCTGCTTGATGCATTAAATTGCTGGGTTAATACTAGCAAAATTGGAGCATTTTTATCCTCAGTTTCTGAACTGTCTGGATGTCTATCTATTCTAACAGTTAAATGGGCGAATTAAGTTTCGATTTTAGGATCAGATTTGCCTGTTCCAGAGTAAGGGGAAATTTTTTTAACTCAATCACTTTTTCATTACATTTCGCCAATTCATCCTGTGGTTTCTCTATAGTAAAGCTATGTTCCCAACCAGCAGTTTTCTATAAAAGAATCAAGGATCTAAGACGTTTTCTTGATTCTTAAACCGTACCTAATTCCGAGACGCCTCTAGTCTAAATCTCATATTCAAGTTGGATGCTCAATACTTGGCTTAAACATTTTGATAATCAAGGTAATAAATCAATAGAATCATACCCAAAATATGAGGTATACGAGCTAAAAATAGGTGTAAATGCACAAATGCTCTCAATTCTCAAGCACTAACAGGAAATGAGATAACATCAGTGCAAATGACACTTGTCAAAACTTAAAAACTAATAAACCATTTAGCAAGGTATACCAAACAAAATTAAATGCCTGAGTATCAAGTGAAATATAAAGTCTCCAGTCCACGTAAACAGGGCTCAGGTGGTAGATAATGTGACCTCAGAGCGTGGCTCTTTGTACTTTGGTCTTTGACAATATTGGTTAGGGTTTGGGTGCCACCCTGTTCCAAGAACTAAGAAAAATAAATAACAAGCAGCGCCTTTCGGCAAATGAACTTGAAATGACTGCCAAATGTTGGGTCTCCGAAGATAAAGCAAACACAACTTCACAAGAAAAAAAATTTAAAAGAAGTCCTGGAGACAAGCAAAACGAAATTAGTTAGTACTACCCTCCTTCCCTCCCCAGCTATGTGGATTCGAGCAGAAACTGAAACTAAAAAAAATCACATTGTCAAGTGCTTGTCTATTACAGAATGATGGAATTGATTCCCACACAAGAGAAGGGATAGCTGCTATGGAGCCTGTTGAAGGAAAGGCTACCCAAACGGAACCTCCGAAGCAAAGGTAACTAAGGTTAGGAAGTCCCAGATGTTAAACACAACCCTCGAACGATGAGGGTTCACAGGGTCTGCTCCTCACACACATGATTCCTACTTAAAGACCTCCTCGGAGTATCAATACAGACAGTTCCTCTCAGCTCGATGGCTTATTGTCGCTGTGACAACGGCTAAGTCCCCAAGAAGGTGAGAAAAGGGCTCCGACAACAAAATTCACCAATGGAGGCCGATTTCTATCAAAATCTCCACAACCCGGAAAGCCCCAGCACTGGGTGTGAAGTTGCTTCTCTACCGCGGAAGTGCTACACGGAAGTACAGGAAAAAACAGCACCAAGTCACTTGCAGTTCTTGTATTTATGTCGATGGAAATTATGAAAAATGACCTATAATGAGATGGAGAGTACAGTACGATTTTCTACCATAGTATTATTAGACCAAGAGAAATGTTTTGTTATAAAAATAAAGTTCGATATTTTTAAGAACTGTCATAAAATCGTTATTCTAAATACGAAAAACGTTGTAATAATTTAGTTTTCCAAAATAGAGTTAATTTTTAGTCGATCATAAAAAGACACTGTAACACTTTATTGAGAAATATTTGAAAATATCTTTGTGTTCAAGTTGCAACCCCCTCACTGCTGAGATAATTCTCACGAACCTGCAAATTCAATTACGGAAAAATTTAATAAATCTAACTAGTGATATTTTCATTTCAGATCATGTCTAACGAAAATGTGGTGCTGCGATAACGAAAACGATATCGAAATTACGCAAGAAACTGCAACTCCATCCAGTGGAAAATTGAACTGCATTAATAAGAATATGAGAAGGCACAGCTTAGTAAATTCATCTAGCGAAAGAAGTGACTGCAAAAACTTTGCTGTATGAACAAAATGTTTCCGTCAATTCTAATCATTCATTGATATTAGTATTTTCAGAGATGTAGAACTTATCACAAGAATGTCAATTTGCCATTGAGATAGTTATACTGTATTTGATCTGGCTAAAATTTTTGGTTTATATGTTTATATGTAGCGTAAACATTGATGTTAATGTTTTCGATTATACAGACTGTATATTACGTTATGTTCTCCTATAAGTCTAAGTCAATACAGGAATGATTACTTCAGCACTTTCGCTAAGCTACTATGATGAATGTAACTCCTGAAACTTATCCTGTGGTGTTCATGATGATATCCTCCATGTTTGTCTGGCCGCTTAATGAAAAAACCATATATGTTTGAAGTACTGTTTACTGACACGACGTTTCAGCCACCATGGTGGACAATATATAGAATAATATATTGTCACCAGAATTGGCATTTGTACTTGAAAAAGGCCACCAAGGTGGCCGAAATAACGTGACTGCGAACATATGAGGTTTCAATTAGCGACTAGACGAACATGTAGGATTATTACTTATGATAATCTCGTTTCTATTGGACTGATTCTGTTCATCATCAGATGAACTGAACTATTGGTTATGTAATAAAAAGAATTGTTCTTTTATAAATAAATATCGTCTTATTTGCTACTTTTTGGCTTCCCCTTTATAGACCAAGATATCTAGATTTTTAGAGATTTTAGAGAAGGAAATTGTAATACGCTGGAATTATATTCTTGAGGTATACAGAAAGGCCCTCTACCGAGAAATACAAAAAGTGTTGCTGGATAACTTTTCTATTAAACGTCAAAGTTGAAAAATTCATTTTTTCCGGTATATTCAAATAGTTATACACTATTGGTGTAAGTACTGAAACATAATTATTGGAGATGGAAATAGCTTCTAAATGAGACTTTGTATGACCAACTTATCGTAACGGTTAATTTGTTATTATTTTTGACTGGTAAAACGATATCCGTAAATAGTCAAAGTTATAGCCTTTGTAGAACTTAGCATCCATAAGAAGTTCATTTAGAAATGCTCGACAGCTTCTGCAATTTTCTAATTATTACTAATATTTCTTTGACAAGCTGTCCGGCGACTTTCGGTTAATCAGATGGACTGGGCCATTCTCCTGTTAGAAGCTTATTTTGTTACCATATCAAATACCAACTTCTCCTATACCGACCATATGAAAAAGTGTCATCAGTGGTACATCCAAAATAAAATATTGCTGCATGGCATTTTCTCGAAATTGACTGGTGCTGCAGAGCAAGTATTTTCTCTTAGCGGTTCTACAGATTGGAACAGCATCAAAAATTTGCTAATTGCTCATTTTGGTGATCAAAGAAACGAAAGTAGTCTTATCTCAGATATGACTGCAATTAGACAAATTCTAATGAAACTTCATTACAGTTTTATTCTAGAGTTGTAACCATGCTCAATCATTTACATAATTATACAAATATTCATGAAACAGTTGATACTATTAAAACTAGTAAAAAGGCACTGTATGATAGTCATGCACAAAGTTCCATGTTTCGGACTATGAAACCTAAAAAATTGGCAGAAGCTCAAACTTATATTTTAGAAGATAATAACATTAGATATTTACAAAACGCTGGTGCACATTAAAATTTCAATAAGCCACCTCAGCCTGCCCTTCCATCCAAACCACATTTTCAAAGTTTGTTTAAGCCTCAAATGCAGCCTATGAATCAATTTAGGCCTCGGCAAAATTTCAACTATCAGCCTGAATTCCCAAGAGGACCGGTTCCGATTCAGCCTAGATAAAATCCTCTTCCACAAAGATTTCCAACAAATGCACAAGTTTTTGGAAATAGACCTAATGTTAATGTTTGGCGTAATCCGCCTAATCAAGGACCTTCCTACAGGCCTACTCCTATGAGTAGTTTTAGTAGCATCAATAGAAATAAGAATTTCCAAAATAGTTATTTTAGGCCTTCGGGCCCAAGTAACTTTGCTTCTCAAGAATTACATAACGTTGAGAGTCATCCTTATCCTTATCTAAATCAGTATGACTGTTCTGATCTATATTACGAAAACCCTGATGAGACACAAAATGATGTTTCTGAAACTGGCCTGATGAAGAAAAACAATATTTTCAGTTGGCCGTGCGTATGTAGCAGAAGAAGAGGATGATTGTCTATTTTCTATTTTACAAGTAAACAAAAAGCAGCCAAATTGTAAAAAAAATCCCGTAACTCTTAAAATGGCCTTAATTGGAGAAGCTTCAGTGTCCAAATACATTGCTATTTTTCCGAAACCTGAAAAGCTGATAATCAAGTGTGAACAAGACGACGTCATAGAGTTAAAAGGCATTTACCTACTTGAAGTGCCCTACCAGTGAAGCATCCATACGAAGGACTACATTTACAAGAATCAAAAGGGAGCAACCATGTAAAAGCCGCAGTTGCTTCCAGAGGTCCATATTTCACAAAAACAAAAAATCCAAAGGAAATTAAATTAGTACATATTTCCTTAGATAAACTTCATCACTTGCAAGAACGAGCCGACCAAATCCAGGTAGATTTTCCCAAAACAGTGAAACACCCCTACAAATGGTGTCTACCCCTGTATGCAATTACAGGTATGTTAATCGGAATTGCATGCATTTTCGTGAAAAGGTATTACCAGAGCAGAAAAGGATCAAGAAGAATCCAGAACAAATCGAAATTCAACCCCAGAGGCACGTTGCCTACAAAACTTCATCTTAAGGGTAAAGGAGTTATGTTGCTGTCATTTAACACTTTATTAATTGATATTATAATTGCATTGTATTCCTTTTTACTAGTTCAACACTTTTGGTTTGTATTAACGATTTTGTCTGAATTATGAGTCAGTTATTCAATCTCAGTTACAGAGCGAACACACACGCTGTAATTTCGGTTCGGGCCATGTACACTATTGTTGGAACCAAATAAAGCTTTTGAAAAACGAAGTTTGAGGTTCATAATTACATAATTACTACAAAGGCTTCAAACTTTTGGCTATTATTTCAGATTTACCGTTATGCATTTTCCAAATAACGGTTTGTTCGTACAGTAGTCGGTGACTTGTCGGTGATTGTGATCCAGTCGTGTGAATTCCGTCTATAATAGCGAAGGGGGCTCTTATGTGGGAATGTAGGAAAGCATGATTCTTGATGTTTCTGTGTAAAAACAGATTAACAGTTACGCCAAATTGGCTATGTTATGTCTCATTTTAAAGGTATTTTCAACCACTACAATTTTTTTTTTAAGATACAAGAGTTGGTCAGCAAATTTTTTTGTGTTTCTCGATGAGGACCATTGTCCTGTTCCCTCAAGAATGTAATTCAGTTGTAAAACTGCTTATTACATTTTTTCTGAAACAGCTTCAATTTTTGGCTCGTCAGCTTGGTTCACTAGTTGGTTTCTGGTTTTCAATAATTTTAGTATTTAAAGGCAAAAGATGGCAAAAACTGATTTTCAATAAGTAAATAAGGCTTTGCGCTAGAAAATGACCCATCTTTTTGTCTGTACGAGTAAAATCTCTCAAAAAAGATCCGCATTTCATGTTTTCTTCTCGTCGTTGATAGTCGAAAAGGTACAGGATGCAATAATCACCTATGATGAGTGAGTCTCCCCATCTTTCCAAACCAGTTTCTAAGCTAATTATTGCAAACGGAATACTACGCTCGACTAATATGCTGCAACACACAATACAACTACTTGCATCAATGGACATCGCTATATCGTAGTGGAACTTGCTCAAGCGCATCGTTGAAATACGAGGAATGGTCACTATAATCAAATCGAAGCGGATAACCAAAATTTCCGTATTATGTACCGCGGTTATAATATGGTTCAAGATGACACACGGGATGGTGACGTCAGTTACTCGAATCGCTTGAACGCGTTGGTTTTAACCGCGGTTTTGTTGCAAGTTGTTTATTTTAGAAAAGCGCGTATATAATCTCTGATTCTTTTTATTATCACTTAATAATCGGTGCTTTTTCGTCTACAGCTATATATGGAAAGTTTAAATAAGAAACCTTTCATAATATTCATGGGAGACATGTTTTTTTCAGATTTTTTTTAATGATGGAACCATGGCTTTGTAGCTATGATAACTTTCAATTCTCTAAATTTTTCCGCATGTCAAAGAAAACATTTATTGATTCAGCAGAAATGATGATAAAAGAAATTAGCAAAACCGTATACAGGTGGATATCATCTAGTGAGTTTATATGGCCATATTTTAATATTCTTGTGGTTTATGGCTACACAGGATACTTTGTTAAGCATAGGAACTACATTTAAAGTGTCCCCAACAACCGTAATGAGTATAACTAATAAGGTGCTCCACATTATGGTAAAACTGAAGTCAGCCTGTATCAATTTTCACAAAAATGAAGCTGAAGTACAATAACAATATCCAATACCCGGCAAAATTCTAACTTGTCACATTTCAAATAATAACCAGAAATATAAAACTACTCTTGAGTTGGGTAAATACCACAATTTTGCGGTGATAACTATGACATATAACAGCTGATTCGTGACGTCACGGATCTTATAACCAAACTGATAACTACAATCGCTTGAACGGATTGGTAAATACCAAGCCAAAATGGTAAATACCATTTCCATTTGGTTATCCGCTTGAATTTGATTTATATGTTTTCCGCTACGACTAGATGGCACCGGTAAATGGAAACATCGTATACCACTGATTAACCTCCACATTTTGAGAATCAGAATCAAAAGCTGTATCCACCTTTGCTTAGGTGGATATCTACTATAGCGTCTATAAGAAGAAATAAAGTTGATGATTGAGGACAAGAGACGAAACATCATAACAAGATTCTAATTACGCCACCATAGGGAGGAGAAAGAGTAACAATATTAATGTACTTTTGAACAGTTGCAGTTTGAAATCCCATCTCCAATATAGTCAGTAAAAGATAAAAACGATTTTGGAAGAATTCAGATTCTTTCGCTTCTCTCCAGTTACTTCACTGAGAAAAAAATGCAATTGAATCAATTGAAGTTTCAATTAGGCCAATTAAAAAAATTAATGATTTGACAGCTAACAAGTTTAATTAGTTTACATAAACATTGATCTCTAAAACGGTTCACTTGCACCAAAAGGCAATCGTTTAATTAAGTTCATTAAACCGTTTAGTTAGATTGACTACAGAAATTTATTTAAAATTAAGGAACTATCAAAATGCTCCGAGTAAAGCAATTTAATTAATAAATTTGCTTAATTAGTTTAAGTAAAAGTGTTTTTTTAGATTTAATGAATTATTTTCGATTATATTTGGTATTTAAAAAAACAAACTGCATTTTACTGAATGATGTATATTATATTATAAATGTGATCTGACAAATCTTAGAAACCAAAAACTTTGGAGAACTTGATGATAGTTGATCTTTTCAAGTCAGAATAAAAACAGAATTTTACAACTCATCAAAATCGATATTTGTGTTTTCATTGACTGTGAACTCATTATATAATGGATCAAGTTCTACCAGCTATTTGTCTGTTTGTCCAGAAACAGAACACAAGAAGCAATTTTTTGTTTTAAATTCATAAAGTAGCGAAAGGGATTCTTGAAACTGAATAAGATCACTTGATTTATACAAGTTTATTTCTAATAAAACAATATTGCACTCAACGCATTCGATTATATAAATAAATTAATATTTTCAAATACCACAAGGTCTACACTAACAGGAAGCTCCACACCTCCTATATTATATACAGCATATAATATAAAATAAAAGCGCATTAAGCCCATGATAAGTACATGTTCGTTATACATGCCCTTCATTCACCTTAGCATGGCTGCATAAATAAATTTTTTAGGCACTTATCATTTCGTCACGTCTGCAGTAACTCCCCTATACACAGTGTTCGATTTAGTGCAATAAATACTTTAACCATGGTTTTGGGTCACTAGCAATGGCAACATTCGAATATGAAGCTCGTTGCGAGAATCGCAAACGAAACTACTGAGGAGTTAGAAATTCGAAGCCCGTCCCCGGCACTGCGCTTCTCATATACTCCCTATCATTCACGAATGAAGTATCCAGTCCTTGCCGTGTCCGCGATTCAAATGAACTAATGAAATGTTTAATGCTTGAAATGTACATTTTAGCCTAGACTAAATTACCTAGACTAATTAAACGGCTTAATAAGACAGGCACATGGTTTGTTATATTCAAGCAAATTAATTTAATGGTATGTTACTTTCAATTAACCTGGCTCCGGAAATTTTGGTTTAATTTAGTTACTTAGAGTACTTAAAAAAATTATTACGAGTAAAGAAAGTTTTACAGAACAACTGTATAATTGGCGACGTTATCTCAGTGTTAAATTTGCAGTTTTGCCCCTTTTAACCCATTTCAAATCTTACCGTTTCCAAGATCCCAATGATGCGAGTCGAATTTGAAACACCCGGTATATAGTAAATGGAAAACAGCTGTGAACACATTCTGATAGATGAAGCTTCTGTATCTCATTTTATCTCGGATATTTTTTGGACGTGGGAATATAGCATTAGGTTGGCTATCTAATCATTGATCATACTCATTGAACGTAGCTGATGGAACCTAACATAGCTTTACTGAAAGAATGAATATACAGAAGTAGCTTAAATTACTGCATCCCACGCGATGTTATAACAAATTCAATCCAGAAGCATCAACAAAGAGAAGTTTCTTTTTCTACATTACAAAAGCAAGCACACCGCTGCCACCGGACTAAAGTATTACCAGACACACCAACTAGCCCTGCACCAGGTTTTTGATAGTTGAAGTTGAGTCATTAATTTTCAGATAATGATTGTAGAAGGAAGATAAGCCAAAATATGTGTGTAAATGTAAAAAAAAATAAAACAAAATGTTACCTTGTTTTATAAAGTATCCTGCCGACAAGTATTTCAGTGCGGACCTGTATTTGATCGTGCGGTCTTGGAGCACCGGCATGCTCTCCCCTGTGAGGTCGTAAGTCACCTGATTCATGAGCCCTTTGTACTACATTAACAAAGGCACGAGGGGTTGGTTGCACTCGATTGGGAAACCGATCCGCATAAATCCGTGATGCCGCGGCAGCATTTTGTAAAGACTCCCCCCCCCGTAAATAAGAATCATGTTCAGCAAGTTCAGCATTTTCGCAAACATGTGCCATTTTTTATTTCGTTTGAGTAAAAACATCGTGATAAGCGTTTCAAATTCTTTCGCATTTTTGTTTCGGATGCGATGAACCGATAAAGCGGATTATACCCGTTGTTGCCAAACACGAGCACATAATATTATCACGTTGGCTGCGACACATGCCTCCAGGGGCATGTTTCGTTCTTTACTACTAGGCTGAATGATATTTGGGCAGATATTCGTTACGTGCGGATGTCATAAAACTTTATTCCTTACCCAATTTTTTCCGTATATATACCTATGTGATCAGGAACTAATCTATAATTACAAAATATGTTTTTTTCAGGACATGCCTCCGGTGGCATGCGCCGCACACAAGTAATGAAATTTACTTTGTGTGCGACACATGCCACCGGAGGCATGTGTAGTTTTACTGCAACCTGTTTGTTTTTGAGGTTATGTGATTTGTGTACAATACAACAAGGGTGTTTAAATTGAACAAAAGATGTCTGAAAGAGCGAAATATATGGTAGAAATTGCCAGAAAACAAATGAGACATGCAGAAGTTGATGAGAACTCAGGTGATATATTGCAAAATGGTAACGGTAGTTCAAAAAGTGTGGTGTCGGAAGTTTTTCAAGAAGATGATTCCTGTGGTGGTAATAGAGCTGATAATCAAGAAACGGACCGCAGAATTGAAGAAGAAAGTGCTGTTTTACACACTGAGAACTGTAGTTCGAAAAGAGTGGTGTCGAAAGTTTTCCGAGAATATGATACGTTTGGTGGAGTTGAAAATCAAGAAACGGTGCATGCAGTTGAAGGAGATGACGACATGAATATAATATATCCAACTTCAACAGACGAACTCGAAGTAGAAGATCCTTATAGCAGCGATGATTCCTTGCGTGACAGAAACTATGTTCCAGACTCATCCTCTTCATCTGATTCCGAACAATCATCCGAATCACGTCAATCATCCCCAGTGACCATTAACCCCTTCACATCCAGGTGCAATTTAAAAAGGCACTTTCACATACCAGACGAAAAAAAAATCGAAAATGAAATATTAAGATTACATAATGACATACATCTTTAACCACAGTTAAAATATTTCATGAAAGTCAAAAACAACATGGCGACAGTGATTCGTATTTTATGACTATACCAGTATATCCACCATTTGGATAATAGTGGCATACCATAATATCCATATTTGGATATCTATGTAAAAATAAATCAAAGTCACATTTTTTGAACATAAGTGCTTTATTCATATTTTTTACATAAAATAAACTAGTAGAACGTAACATTGGTAAACCGCTTAAAATATAAAGTTCATTTGTGGTGTTCTTGAAAATGTTCCGGACAACAAAGCCCTGGCTTATTTGGACACTCAATGCAAATATTTCGTGTTAGTTTCCTTTGGTTGTGTTTTCGGCAAATAACGCAGATCTTTCGCAATGCCCGTTTTTTCCATCTTCCTTTGGTAAATTAACCATAACGTGTTCTTTTTGTGTTTTTTTTGAAGTTGAAGGTTGATTATAACATGAAGAAGCATCCGTCATGCAGCGATATCCTTCACTGTATTTGTGCAAAATACCATTACAGCACAGTTATATAGTCATACATCGAAATGTTGAAATCATCTTTAGCGTTACAGAATAAAACCTTAGAATTTAGAAGCAGAAGCATTAATTGAAAGCCCACTTTTGTAAACCAAGTATAGCTTTTTCGTAAAGAATTGTAAGGTTCCAGATCTTGATCGACAGCGTCAACAGAGCCCATATTTTGATTATAAAATTCAATGTGGGCAGGTTTTTTAAAATGCACTTGTTTACCGCCTACCATATAGCGAGATTTTTCAAAAAACCCTGCACTATGCTTACTTGTCAACAAGTAAACATCCTTCTTGTCCTTATATCGTACAAGCAGTTGCATGTCTTTCCGTACGAAGCAGGATTGGTACCTTTCTAGTGGAATTCTAGTTAACTGAGCGGGAACTCCACGATTGCTTCTTATAGTTCCAGTCAAATAGGTTCCTTGGGTAAGTAAAAATTGCGAAAGCCGCACGGATGTATACCAATTGTCTAGAATAACTTCTCGGCCACTGTTCAGTATATTTTGAGCTAAATGCACGACAATTCTTTCAGAAATAGTGAGGTTTCCGGTGCCTGGAATATGGGATACATCGAAATTGTCTTTCCCTACGTACAAAAAAGTTCCAAGTATATCCGCGCAAATGTGGAGCGCTTGGGCACATTGCAAAAAGTTTTATGCCAAATCGATTTCTTTTTGTTTTAATATATTGACGAAAGTGCAATATGCCTTTATAAAGCATCAAATGTTCATCTATTGCAAACACTGATCCAGGGTCAACCAACGTCTTGCAGTTGTCTTTGAGCATGGACATATAAATTCCAAGTCGGCTCAGAGGGGCATTGTTTCTTGCTGCTTCGGGTGGCGAAAACCGAATAAACTTGAGTATAGAAAGATAAATGTTTCGACTCATAATAGACTTATTGAAAACTTTTGGACCAGCGCACAAAATGTTATTACTCCAGTAATCTGTTATGCGAGGGCACTTTACTAATCCAGTAAGAATATGAAGCGCGATGAAAACGTACATCTCTTCTTTTTCTAGTTTCTTCCACTGAACGCCATAAACTGTCCTTGTATTTGTATTTTGTTCAAAGTACATTTCAGCTCTTCTTTTCGTCCACTCACTTAATTTCGCTACGATATTTGGGCTTAAAAAACATTCGAAACAATTGACTGGATCTCTGCACTCTTCCATATCAATGGCGGGGTGAAAAGTATATTCAGAAGAAAAATTTTGCGTAGCTCTAGGAACCTGATCGGAAAAAGGTTCACTTAAAACTTGCCATTCGTCCATGGTCACGTTTTCGACAAGTTCATCGTCATCGGTCTCCGAATATGTTTCGTCAGAGTCACTCACATCCGAATTATCACTTAACTCATACTCCGAATCGTTATCACTATCTGTATAATAGTCCTGGACATTCATTTTTGATAAATAAAACTTTTACATCCAAACAACACTGAGAAACACGATAAAACAGACTTTCCCGCCAAAACGTAATTTAGAGGCGTACACGACCGCGTACCAGCGTGACTACTTATGTACTAACAGTAAAAATATTTCTGTGGAAATATTTTGGATATTGAAGAAATTTGGGTGGGGATGGCTTGTATGCCATACCAGTCGGTCTAATTGATAGCAGCTCGCCATACCAGTTCCCTGCTCCATAACATAAGCCATTAACAATGAAATCCATATGTGGATATTATGGTATCCAGAGAGCATATTCAAAATATCCATATGTGGAGTACTGGATGTGAAGGGGTTAAGAATAATCAGACTGTAAGTAATAATGGGCAAACTGATGATTCCAGTGACAATGAGTGGTGTGACTTAGATGATGACGATGTGACTGACAATTTTGTCCCACAAAAATGTAAGCTTTTAAATATTGACAAGAACGGCATTAAGGAACCCATTGACGCTTTTACTTGCCTTATTACCGATGAAATATTAGATTTAATTGTCGAACAAACTAATATTTTCGCCACTCAGAAGCAAGCTGAACAGCATTCCAGAAAATCCAGAATTAATAAATGGACTCCAACAAATCGAGATGAAATTAAAATTTTTTTGGGTGTCACGCTGGCTATGGGGCTTACTCAAGTTCCTCATACCAATCTATATTGGGCCAAAGATGACATATATCATAACCACTTCATTTCCAGTGCAATTAGTCGTGATCGTTATCTTTTGCTGTTATCATTTCTTCATTTTGAAAACAACGAGACTTGCGATAAAGCAAACAGACTCTACAAAATACAAAACATAATATCCAAGTTACTTAGAAATTTTCACGAAGCCCTAAAACCTGGCAATACGTTAGTAATAGATGAATCTATGATACCATTTAGAGGACGACTCCTGTTCCGGCAGTACATCCCAAACAAAAGCCACAAATATGGGATTAAACTTTACAAGCTCTGTTCGCCAGAAGGATATACCTTTTTCGTCATTGTGTACAGTGGAAAGGGGGACACAAACGCTGAACTTGGCCATTCCCAGTCCCTTGTACTAAAATTGTTGGAAAATGTTGAGCCAAAGGCCAAAGGAAGGCAAAATCCTATTTGCAGATAATTTCTACTCCAGCGTCCCCCTTGTCAAACAGCTGTTAAAAAAGAAGATGATGTACTGTGGCACATTACGAGCCAACAGAAAAGGTTTACCAGTAACTTTTTCTGTAAAAAGTAAAATAAAAAGGGGACAAATCATTTCCAAGAAAAAAGGGGACGTCAAGATTTTTAAATGGATGGACAAGAGGCAGGTGTTAATGATAAGTAGTGTACCATCTCATAAGGCAGATTTAATTCCAGTTGGAAAAAAAAATAAAAAAGGAGAAGATGTTATTAAGCCCCAATGTGTGATTGACTACAATGCAGCCAAAAAGGGGGTCGATTATTCAGACCAAATGTCTGCATACCACACTGTTCTGCGTCGAAGCCTGAAGTGGTACAGGTGAGTATTCTTTTACATTATTTTAAAGTATGGCATACTATATTTTCTGATTTTTTTTAGGTAAAGTCATGTTTGAGCTGATTCTTGGAACATCCGTGGTGAATTCCTTAATAATATATAACTTATGTGCTAAAGAAAAATTGAGCATAACAGAGTTTAGGCGTCAGCTAGCTTACTCCCTAGTCAAATCTCCAAACTCTGAAGAAACGATAAAGGTTCCAAAAAAAAGAGTGCATAGTTTTCAAAAACCTGACGGACCTGGCAGGAAAAAGCGCAAGCCCTGTAAGGGTTGTCGTCAAATTTTGAAAAAATCTGGATTGAATTATCGCGAAATCGACAAAAAAGTTCGAAGGGTTATAACATATTGTTCTGATTGTCCAGGTCAACCTGGATTTTGTTTAAATTGCTTTAACGCTGCTCATAATTGAACTATGTAATACAAATGTTATGATAATTTTGAGCTATAATATTATATTCGTGTATTTTTTTTTAGTTTCTATTTTTTCTAAGTTAATTTTAGGATATAATTTACATTTTTTTTAAGTTCTACACCGTTTTTTCAAATTTAAACTTAAAATAAATATGTTTACTTTTTGCATAATGAATAAATATAAGTAACCTAAAATTTTCCTTAGTTTTCTTGCGGCACGTGTCCCCGGAGGCATGTGCTATTGAAAATGCAGGCAGAGTTCTTTAATGAAAGCAACTAGAATTCATTGATATTTGAAAAAAAATTTAACTGGTGGAACTAGGTGTCTCTATATGTCATAAATGCAAACATGCCACAGGAGGCATGTGACGCACAAAAAATAAAATAAGGCACGGGTCTCCAAAGGCATGTGCCGCACACCAAATGAAGGTAGAAATTGGTAGCCGCAGTCAACGTGTTATTATTGAGACAGGGCGGTACTCAAACTTCTAAAGGCCTATAACTTTGTTACTTTAATTTTAGTCATCCTGTATAGATAATATAGGTAGTAATATAATGTAAAGTTATAATAGGTTCGCCTATCCCTGACTTTGTGTTCTATTTGGGCAACGGTCAAAGGTTCTACGGACTGCTCTGACAGAGAATGATGAATAGAAGGTTCGTCGATTTCGAAATTCTGGCAATTACAATATTTTCTCACCAACTGGCATGGAAATTCAAATGGTTATCGAGATCCGAGATTCGGGTATACTAACCCAATATTTTTCTTTCATAAACAGATTTTTGAAGTTTAAAGCCCGCTACTCACGATACAACGCCGCAGTACAATTTTGTCGAATGCGATTGCTCTACGACTTTGTCGAAAATTGGATCAGAACCCACATGTAACGATCTTGAAGTATGAGTTTTGATTTGAAACATGGCCATGAAAATCTAGTTTTAGTGGCTCTTGCATTTTGCATTACTAAAAGTAAAGGAAAAAATAAAAAACGATGGTGGTGTAAAAATTGGTTTCTTAAACGGCATATTTTCCAAAGGCATTCTTGCTCTTTATATAATTCAAAAAATTCTCTTAAAAAGTCCTCATTGTAAGCCATTTCTAGTTATAAATATCCGTAGTCAGAGAAATAAAATATTAAAATTTGCCAAATTTAGGTTGTTTTTACGTGTTTTTTGCTGTTTGCCGAACCGAAATCATACAATGGAATCGTACGTCGCAATACACGATCAAATAAACGATTCAACCAACAGTGTTGTACTGCTGACTTGTTTGTCCGCGATCAAATCGTACCGACTTGATTGGATAATAAAAATACACGATCAAATTGCGTTGTCGCGGACTGAACGTATGTCCTAAAAGTTTTGGCATAAAATTGATTGGCTTTTATTTTAATAAACACAAAATAATATCAATTTGCATTTGGAAACAAAAGTTTGTTTACTGACTTTACTGTCAGTTGACATTTATTAATTTTGGATTTTCCGCTTTAAGATGTCGTATACATTAGTAAAAAGAAACAGTATCTACAAATTAATTGGGCGATGGATTTTATACGGACAACGTATAGGAATGCCCAAACAGTGTTAAATACAATCATAAAGCGAAACTTGTAGATAAACTCGCAATTTCTATTAGTGGAGTATCCCAAAATTTTTTGGGTAGAGTGAGGGGTGAAGCTTTGAGTAGTCAGAGCTACATATATTTGAAGCTGCCTTTCCAAATTACTTCAGTTTGCCCACAAACGATATTATGTTTTGGCTAGACCTAGCATCATGCCATTTCTCAAGAGACACCCAAAACAGGCTCCGACAACACAACATAAGTTACCTTTTGTTCCCAAAAACGATAATCCTCCAAACTTGCCGCAGTCTCGCCCAATAGAGGATTTTTGGGCTTTACTGTCTAGGAAGATTTATCATGGAGGCTAGGAAGCCCAAGATGAAGAACAATCAAGACCGCGAATTCACGAAAAACTGAGAGAAATTGATCTGAATTCCGTCCAGCACCTCATAAGAGACATTGGAAGAAAGTTGCGTCTGGTAGAGCAGAATCGACTACTCCACATAGTTCGATAGAATAGTTTAGTTAAGTATTGAGTTGTAATTTATGATAACTAATTAGTGTTTAAATGAATTTCTTCATTAAAAAAAATCCGATAGATAGTTTCTGGTAAAACTTTTAGCACATACATATGTACATACGTTAAAGGCCAATTACACCTACCGAGTAGCTCGGCCCAGTACTCGGCCAAAACTGGGCGAGTAGGTGATTACAGTTCAGCAGATCAGGGCGAGACAGTTGCCAAGTGTTTTCCACGATGTTAACATGTCCCGCGAAGTAAGAAGAGAAACATGAAACAAATATTTAAACGCTCATACATCCATTACTAGATGAAATTGAACGGGAAATTTATTAAAGAAAACTAATATGGACAAGACCGTTGCTACTGAAATGAGACATGAAAGGAGGAACTGCAACAGTGATGAGTGAGTTCGAAACTGAAGAGCTCAAAGAAAATAGATCATTTATGAGGACGGAATTGCAACAGTTTGATCACCTACTTGAGGCAATATCAAAAGCTTTTCTCTTCTCGCCAGGTCTTTTTGAATCTGCAACTTTCTTCTTTTCACGGATGTAGGTTGATCTCAAATTCTTTATTCTATTTTTCACTTCTGCCACACCGAAGTGTACATTCATTGCTTCAAGCAACTTCTGGTAGGCAGCATCTCGCCAATGTTTGTCTCTATAAGCAGCTGATTTGCAATCCCACAAAACTTGTGAGTTTTGTATTCCTGCATACTCTTCACTGTTGTTTCACTTGACTACTTGGACATTTTCATAATGAACAAAAAAACCGAATCGAAAGAATGAGGAAAATAATCGAGCAAAAATGGATAAATTGCAATAAAATACGTGTACTCGCCAGCTCTCCACCTGGCAACGTGATTACACTGACCGAATGAAAGGGCGAGTGGCGAACGAACGAGTGGATAAGTGATGGAGGTCACAACTCGGCCGAAAAAATAGAACATGGACTATCCACTGACTCGCCTAAAATCACTCGCTCGTCGCTCGGCCGAGTACTGTTTCGATTGATTACATTGCGGCTGTTAGAACAGCTATACAAGCGGAAAGGGCACACCTAATAGGACACTTCAGTCATTTAAGAGCTTGTATAAGGGTGCAGGTAACAGTTATACAACAAACGTGTAAACCTCTTGCAGCCGCTATAGGACATTTGCGGCAGTGCAAGATTCAGTTTTTGTCAACTATACAACTATTCTGTTACGTGATTCTACTTTATTGCAACCAAACTATTTCTTATGTATTGTATAGACGAAGTGAAGAATATATAACTAACACATTACAGTCATCTTGTTTACTTACATATCGGCCATTGTGAATTTCATACACAGGTATATGATAAAATTCTACACTGTGATATAGGGCTATTGAATTACTTGCGCAGCAAATTTTATTGTGATTATCGTGCAAGGTAGTTACGCAATCTCTACGGGCTTCGTATTTAATTCATATTTTAATAATGATCAAAAGTATGTCTAGGATTTTAAGATGGAAAAATGAACTTATCTGATATAACTTCCACAAATCCTATATTTAGACACAATTACACTAATGTTTATCACTTTATATCTGTAATTTCGAACTGAAACATAATTACTTAATATTAAAATGGAGGACTAAATGTTTGCCCAATATGGCGGGTGGTTGAGTATAATCATGGCATCGTTCATGTTGTCTTTAGTTTATTAGAATATTTTGGTGTTACCTGCAGGTGTTATACAACAATTTGACAAATGTCTGAAATGAAATACCGACAGAGTCGAATGATTTACCCAGAATTTGTACCAGATCTATATCTTCTGTTTGAACAGTTGATAAAGCCTTTTGAACCAATATGCATATGCGTTGCTTGTCTTGAAACATTGGTTATGGAATTTTAACAAAAATACGACAGCAGAAAGTTGGGTTATGGTGAAGTTGTATACCAACATATTTAGCAACAAATGTATACCGAGCACAGCAATTTTGTACTACAAAAGTTGTAATATTGTTGCATATGTACAGCCTTTAACAGGTACTAAACGACAGTTGTATAAGTGCTTCCGTTGGGAGCAATTTGTTGGCTAAAGTAGTAAATTTGCACAGCAAGACAACGGGTTTGTTTTATAAACGTTACCATGGATGACGCAACACAACCATTTTGACTAACGTGCAAATATGCCTTATAAAATAGTTGTATAAACGTTTATGCAAACATTTGCCCTATAAGGTGTTGTATAACTATGCTATAAGAATATTTTAAACATCTCATTTTAGAGCAAATATGTTGCAGAAAATAAATTTGCATTCCACACAACATTAAGTCAGCATTTTGGTGTTCAGGTAAGAACAATAGAGAGCTTTTATGGCTGAACGGTTCTTTTACCAAAAGCTTATAGTACTACTTTGCTAGTTTGGCAAGGTATAGTTCTGTGCTTTGGAAGCATTAAGATCTACCAGATTGTTGCGTCCCTAAGTAGTGATAACCTCCAGGTCTCACGTCAGAGAGGAAGCCGCTGTTACTTTTCTTTTCTCGAGCTCACCCGCAGAGATCGGCTCTGATCTTTTACTTCCCACGCCACTGTGCAACGAATTATTGTGATCGCGAAATTTTTTTCAATTATGTTTTTTGGATGTTATCAGAGATGGGCGCATTGCATACATAATTACACCAAGTACACCATTGTATACGCTTATACAATGGTGAATATATACGTCTCGATATGCACGTATACAATGTATACAATGTATACAATGTATATAGTAATAGCAAATCATAGTTTAACT